TGTGTGTGTGTGTGTGTGTGTGTGTGTGTGTGTGTGTGTAAAAGGTAAACAGAGTAGTAAAGGACACCCCTCCTGAAGCCCACCCGATGCCTTCAGCCCTGCTCCGTGCCAATTTCTCTTTGGCATTGGCCGCTGAGGGATGTCCTGCAGTACTAGTGCCAACTCACACACACACTACACCTCACGACTGCAGAAAACCACAAACAAATGCACAGGCCTCTTGCAGTCACACACACACACACACGGCCTAGCAATTCTGCACCATTCCTATCTGTGTTTATAGAAGCTGTCTGTAATCCGCCGAGATTTATAAATATGCTTTGTAGTACATAAACATTTTTATGGACACGTTCCTCTAAAACATCTGACACAATTTGAGAGCTGCAATACGACAGGACCCAGTGGGTCTGCGCGCGTCCACCCACATACAAAACATGCACACATGTTGGCACAAATAAAATGAGGAGATCAGACCAGAGGGGAGCTTGAATATCAGTAAAACGATCACAAAATCTCTCCGCAGAGGCATAATCACACTTCTCGTGGACCTAAAATCGAACTCTACACCTGCACGTACCTCCGAACAACAACAGATACTGAGCGTTTTTGCATAGCTTTTATTTTTCACCTAACATCCGGCGGAAAGACAAAGTGATCGCTCGAGGTAGTCCCAGAAAGACGGTGTGATCAGGTGGCATTATGGAGATGAGGACAGACAGAAAGGAGAGAGCTGGGTATTTCTCCTCTTGTGATAGAGGAGGCGATGCCATTGTCTGCAGGAGGGAGGGATGGGGGGTGCTGAGAGCGTCATTGGGTGCTAAGAGCATATGAAGGGGTGCGGGGGTGGGAGAACTGAGACAGAGCGGGTGGCACCGTGCCAGGCAGTGCCCGTCTGGCTGCTAAATACCTTTGTTTCCTTGCACACCGGCTTTGGTGCAAAAAACTGGTAAAAACTGTGTGATTTTCAAGGTTTAAAGCCTTCAAATATACATTTTTCATATAATATCTCTCAATTTCAACTGAATACAAATAAGTATTGGACAAATAACATAAAAATGGATTCCTGTTTTTCCTCCCATGCAACACAAAATTCCCAACCCAACAAAAAATGTGTGCTGTAGCCCATTAGATGAGAACGGCGAATGAAAGGAAGCCGTCCACCCCCACAGCACCAAGCCGACTGTATCATGCAAATCAAGCCCGAGGATGCAGAATATCACAATGTTTCTGCGAGGGATGCTGCGAGACACATCTCCACATGCAGCAAAACAGCTCCAAGAGAATTAAACATCATTCTGTGCTATTATTACACCTCTTCCCTCTGGAAAAGCTCTGCACACCTCTCACACACACATTCGTAATGCTATTTTTTCTAAGATCAGACAGGAGATGGTACACATATGCAGGGACTAGATACAAACACACACGGGCATACAACAGCACGGTATTCTTTGAAAGGGACGACCGGTCTTGTGTATGAAGAAATCCTGCCGGTGGAGGGAAATAAAAAGGTTTGGAAAATTAGAGACGAATGCCTCCCCCCCAATTCGAATACATATTCATAAAGAGCCGCTTCCAGGGCGCCATCACCGCTCGGGTAAGACATGTCTCTTTGTCGCTTCCTGATAATTCATTTTCTTGATTTTTAGTTTAAGACAGCAGTCAAAAACAGTTAATCTAATCACCAAAAATAATGAACGAAGTTGCATTGACGAGTTTAAAGTATGCGGTGTTTGACAAAACGTAGCAATTGGAAAGAGAAAGCGTGATCTATATAGCTCATATATACAAACTTTATTAGAGCCACAGAAAGACAAGCGTGCTGAAAGATACACAACACACAATCTTGAAGTCATTATGTCCATTAACAAAACCTGATAATTCTTTTTTTTGATTTTTTGAAAAAAAAAAAAAAAAAAGGACAAGCAAGGTTTGGGTGTCGCCCCATATTAAGCCATGACAGCAAACACACGCATCTGCAGAAATAAAATGATCTTGTGACACCGAGCATCCTCTGTATGCATGCATATTTCCACATGTGCCTCTAAAGAAAGTCTATTACATCTGTCAAAAACACACACACACTTCACGGGGCGGTTCGGAAAATAAAAACAACTGGCTCTCACTGATGACTAACGCTGCTCCTCACAAGTCCTCTTAAAAAACGATCAGTGTCAGCACACTCGCTCCCTCGCAGCTGAACTCCAGAAAGGCGCTTTGATGATAATTATGATCATGACAGATCGTCAAGCTCCAGATAATATGTGATTTTAAAAAAAAGGAGGAAGAAAAAAAATAAGGGAAAAAAAAGCTTAAATTGCTGGGGTCTTTGTTAAGCCACTCATTTGGGTCACATTTTGGCACAGAAAATTGCAGGCGGCTCACATGCCAGACAATCGCACACAGTGTAATTGATTCAATATTAATTGGATGCCCCTGATTTACATTGACTGCTACAGCCATATGCATAGCAGAGAGGGAGAGAGTGACAAAATGGGCGAGCGAGCGGGAGAGTTAGAGGTATTAAAAACCCACCCAGCAAAGGCCATTTAAAAAACAATTATCTGTATTGAGGTCCGTTCTGCATGGCGGCAGTGTCAGTCCGATCTAATCTGCCGATTTATTGGAGAGCAGTCATAATTTCTGAAGGGCTGCCATAGCGAAAGACTTGATAAAAAAAAAAAAGTTCAGAGCTCCAAATGGCCCCATATCGCGAGCCAAAGCGAATTCAATCTGTTCCATCGACATGTTTTTGGACAAGGCGTTGCGAAACAGAAGATCATAGGATGTTACTCTGCATAATTTTTACATTTCATCAGACGCCTTATATTGTGCAGCAAAGGACACGATGCCGATTATATCATCACAGCAGATTCAAAGCTCTGGGAAGAGCATTAATTCAACAAGACACTTTTGTGTCAACCTGTCTATTTTTTTTTTTTTGCCATTTTCAAGAACTGAAAGGATTCAAAATCTCATTTAAGGATTAAAAATTAAATAAATACATTATGACTGTATCAAATCACTGCATGGGAGAGGAGAGGGTCTCCTCACCAGGATACATTGTGCTATTTGGGGTAATACACAGTCACACACACACACTGCCACTTTCTATGCTCACACAGCAAATCCATTCCTCTGTGACAGGTACTGCCTTTTCTCACACTGAGCAGCTCTATATGGAAATGGAGTTGTTACATCACACATACCAATCTCCTTATTTGGTCGTCTGAACTCTGAAGTCTAATGATCCATCTTAAAAATAGATGAAATAAATAATAACAATTAATATATAAAATAAAAATATGACAAAATAAATAAATAAATAAAAGTAATAATAAAATAATATATAAAAAATAATAAAATAATATATACAAAATTTATAAATAGAAAGACTGTAGAAAACAGAATAAAAATGTTTTCCTTAAAAATATTGAATAACTATATATAATGATAAAAACGTAAATGTAATTGTTTTTCTTAAAAGCATTGAACTATCAGCTTTCCTTCAACCTTGCAGTTTTGTGATGTTCTAGAGCACCTCTAACCCAGGTACACACACACACACACACACTCAAATTATTCTGGTTTATACATTCATGGTAAGCTGCAGTCACAACTAACCTTGAATATGTTATGTCTGAAATCGTCTATAATATGGCTAATTAATATCTCTTCCCTGTCTGACCTGCCATGGCAGCAGATTCAGTAACATGCTGAGAAGTTGTTATGGACCTTCCCACAAAATTGTTTTAAAAAAATAATAACAAGCACACATAATACCAATGACCCAACGCTATCAGCTGAACCCTGATACATTATGATGTAAATGAGTTTAATAACCCAGTTTAGCGGCTGACAGAAACAAGAGACGTGCGCGATAACCGGCTCGCATAAAGTTTGTATAATTTGTGCTGAAACTGCATCAGCATGCTTAAAACAAAGAGGGCAAGCAGACACAAATGACCCCATTCAGCCTCCATATCTGATCAAATTTAAATGTTCTATAGCACAAAACTCTGTTCCACAGCAGATTGTTGTAAACATTTGTATGCACACAAACTAGGAGGCTTCTCAAACTATGCAAGTGGGAACTGTTAGAAAAAAAAACTTGATACTTGAACTCAGCAGACGATAATTAGCCCAGAGCAAAGGGTCAAGTCCAAATGACTGTTGATGGGGCTAACCGGACCCAGACGCTTCCTGGAACCTGATCTTTGAGGCAGACCAGAGAATGGCCAAACATAAAGCCAGGCCAGAAAAACAGACTCTACATTTCAAAAACAGCCACTCTAAATCGTCCCACCAGCACAAAACACTCATGGACACATAATAACACGCCGACAACTTAAAGCAGTTCATTTCACTTAACGCTCAGCTTAAGCAAGATTAGACTTACGCTGCTCTAAGATTCCAGGGTTGCCTTTATTTTAAGTTGTTTACAGTGGAAATTAGGGACTATCTTTTTTATGACTGCATTTTCCGTGTTTTATATATAGTGCATAGAGCCAACCGCTAATTAAAACGCACATCCATAAAAATAAAACAAATAATTAGCATTGTGTTATTGTTTCCTGACAAACCAAAATACCCGAATTCCAAACCAAAATTCCTTTCCTTTTTTGACAGAAAGTGAAAATGTGCAGGCGTGCATTTATACGGATAAGATGTGGCTGTGCAAGAACCCACAACGAAATCAAGATACATCTGTCGAGACCACATGAGAGAGGCTGTGCAGCACAGAGAGGCATTTCCCATGAGCCTGTGGACACACACCGAGGGGGATGGCCTCTCCTGTCACAGCAAGGACTCCTCGAACCGCCCCTCCAGTGCCAAAATTTCCCCCTCTCAATCCCTTTTTTTTCTCCTCCCAGTAGGGATGAGCAGTCCATTGTGCCATAAAGAACACACCCTTTGCACTCTACTTTAACAAATCTGCAACTTTTAAGTCACAGTCTGCCTCTTTGGGCTTCATTTGATTACCATGGAGAGTGAACGACAAGTTACCAGAGAAAAAGGATTTGAAACACAAAGTGCAAATGTGCTAAACCGAGGCACGCAGTCGGTGGTGGGAATGTGTGATCTACGGTTCGAATCTGAGCTTAATTATCCAAATCCCACAGAGTCCATCTGAGGGAGATCCTTGATTCCAAGCAGCGATGATCTTGAGATAATAAATCAGATTTTAAATGTTTTCTTTGTACTCTATGAAGTAATGCCGGTTCCTCTTTTGGTCTTCGTAATGGCTTCTCACTCTGAGGTTTGATTGAATATACCCCCTTCCCCTTCCCCTTCCTGCCTCACAGCTTTTAAATATTCAGCACTGTGATACGTCTCCAGAGCTGCGAACAAGATGCCCCACCGAGAAAAGACATGTGTCTACGATATGTGGCCCACACAACAACTCGGCTCCACCACGAATGTTCTTCACACAGATACATGCACAGCCCTTCTATATTTAAAAGACAAATCACATGGGATGAGGTTACCTGTAATGTTTTCCTGTTTGGGACAGATTCCTCGAGAAGACGTCGATAAGCAGTCATCGTCCTCTGGCGTGACCTGGACGCCCACCTCCACGGGGTTGGAGGCTCTCCTCAGCTCACCATGCAAGGGCGAGGGGGGCTTATCCACTGCTTTGTCCATGCACAAAGTGCCACTGCACTGCTTCCTTTTGTGCTCAATGAAAATAAGGATGTCTCCCAAAGGGAAGTTCATCTGACACTGGCCACAGGTGAGCAGGTCCTGGTCTCCCTCTGGAGCTACCTGTACCAGCCCGCGCTGTTCCTGCCTCTCCTCCGAGACCACGGCTGACAGGGGCTCGGCTGCACGCAGGAAGAATCCATATGCGACACAGAGGGAACAAAAAGCAGAGGGAATATTAGATGCTGTAATAAATGCAGTCAAGACGAGGGAGCATATAACAGGATAAAAAAGAACAAGGATACACATTTTATGTTAATCCACCACTTTAATTTAGTTTATGATTTCAGATCGATCTTTTAAATTTCTGATCTGTAATTACATTAAAAGTTATGAAAAATAATAATAATAATAATAAGCATAAAAAATCAATTAGTCACTGTCAGTTAAACTTCAGTGAACAAGCATAACACATAATATTCACCTAACTAATAGCAAGGGCTTGACATCTTATTAACATATGATTTATTATGATATAACAGTAAAGGCAACAAAATTTTGTTATATTTGCTTTGGTGCATTAACATCTGCGTCTAAAACTACAGTAAATTCATCTCAGTCTGACTCTTTGTTTCACTCAACCATACACACATCTGGATCATGAAATGACTGCATGCACAACACGTGTATAGATATCCAGAAAAGCCAACACAAGTCACAGCTGCAACAATACAAGCTTCACACAGTAAAGACTATTAGCTTTATTCCCCCTCGCGATAAAGTTAACTGTAAGGTTCACACACACACACACACACACACATATGCAGGTATTTTTATAATGGTTGTTTAGTGAAATTTTGCACAGAGGTTACACTAGCTTCCTAATGGTTAAGAATCTTGACCTTCTTTATAAGCTGCCAATTTCATGCTTTAATGAACCTAAAACCACAGAGAATCAAAAAATAGATTTTAATTTTAGTGGATGATGATTGGTACAGATTTTGATAAAAAAAAAAGGTGTTAGGATCATGTGCAGGGCGGTTAAATTTACTTCAGCCCTGTCTGGGGCAGATATTGAGGGGCAGATGTGGAGTATCTCCCAGACGTGCTTATGAGGAAAATATCTGACACATTTGCACATTAAGGACAATAACGAAATGTGATCAATTTCCCTTCTATATGTAATGCTTTTCGCTATTACGTAGTTTTGATTTTTTTTTTTTCGAGATCAAATGCTCGCCATTCAAATCAATAAAAGAAAGTCTACTCGATTTAAAGTGAACTCAAAGTATTTTAGAACTGATTTCTAGATACAGAGGGATTCATAGTGATATTGATTCGTAATGAATTCGTAATGATAACAGCTGTAGAACTTCCAGTTAGATGTGATTGTGATAAAACAGAGATAATCGATATATGAAAAACTTCAGTCATGATTTAATAATAATACCGAGCGAGAAATTCTAAAGTTGGTAACATATATATTTCAGCTGCAATAATATACGTTACATTAAAATAACAACTTATATTCAACACTTCAATTAGCAATAACAAATCATATTATGTACTTATTTTACTATCGCAGCTGCAATCTAAAGATATCCGCATGTATGCATATTTTTGAATTATATTTCAGAAACTTTACACGACTGACCATGCATAAATAAACAAATTATATAAATATTTTGCAAAAGAATATTCGACTTTCTAGATCCTTCAAAAACAAATTAAGTTTCCTCAGAATGTGTGAAAACTGTGGAAAGCTGTATCACATAAAATTTTCCCAATTGCTTTAAATTCCACTACAATCAGCGCTGGCAGTAAAAACGATATTGCATTTAAACTGTTTTGCTATTTAAAATCAATACAAGTGTTTAAAAACAAAAGCAGCTTAATACCAAAAAATATGCTGATAATGTTTTCAAATAGCTCTCCTCAGAAAGCTATCTGTTTGTAGCCTGAACGTGAACATTTAAAGCTTGATGTCAGTAAAGTAATTTTTAAACGTTTGTAATAACAGCTTCTTCGTTAGAATGTCTCTTTCACTTTAAAAATAACTGCTTTCTGTGTAATTATGAATTATCAAGATCAACTACATTTGGTCTATTATTGCCTGAACATCCTTTGTTGTTAGTTTACTTGATCTATTACAAACTACAAGGTATAAAAATGCTACATTTCATGCCAGGTCAGGACGGGGTAAAAAAAAAACAGTTACAAGTTCATATACAATACGTTTCGCTCTTGCTAACATATGGTCAAATATAGATAAAGATAGCGGCGAAACTGATCGGGTTCGAGTCTAGTTTATGATCGTCGTCTGCCTCCTAGCGGTGGATTTCTGACACGTACAGCAGCGAACACACGGAGTAACCCGCGCTGAGATCCCACAGCCTGTGTGTGGAAACCTAATAATGTTACACGATACTTTACAATGTTACAACAACTCGGGATTTGTGTCAAACGTGTTTATCTAATAAAACGCGGACTAATGCTTTTGCAGCTTTACGTTTGAGATATCAAAGGGTAAAAATCTAAAGACACGAAGAAAGGAGCTTAAATGGTTTTGTTTCGTCGTGCTCCTGACAACATTTCAGGTCCATAAAATACGAAGCAGACTTTATTTACAAAAATGCGACCTACCACAGTCCTTCAAGGCATGTTTAGAGTAAAATAATAATAATAATAATTGGAATGATAAAACAGAGAACAGTAGTAGGCTACGAACGTGTGCATACAAAAAGAGCAAAAACTAATAATAACAAGCACACATAATACCAGTGACCCAACGCTATCAGCTGAACCCTGATACATTATGATGTAAATGAGTTTAATAACCCAGTTTAGCGGCTGACAGAAACAAGAGACGTGCGCGATAACCGGCTCGCATAAAGTTTGTATAATTTGTGCTGAAACTGCATCAGCATGCTTAAAACAAAGAGGGCAAGCAGACACAAATGACCCCATTCAGCCTCCATATCTGATCAAATTTAAATGTTCTATAGCACAAAACTCTGTTCCACAGCAGATTGTTGTAAACATTTGTATGCACACAAACTAGGAGGCTTCTCAAACTATGCAAGTGGGAACTGTTAGAAAAAAAAACTTGATACTTGAACTCAGCAGACGATAATTAGCCCAGAGCAAAGGGTCAAGTCCAAATGACTGTTGATGGGGCTAACCGGACCCAGACGCTTCCTGGAACCTGATCTTTGAGGCAGACCAGAGAATGGCCAAACATAAAGCCAGGCCAGAAAAACAGACTCTACATTTCAAAAACAGCCACTCTAAATCGTCCCACCAGCACAAAACACTCATGGACACATAATAACACGCCGACAACTTAAAGCAGTTCATTTCACTTAACGCTCAGCTTAAGCAAGATTAGACTTACGCTGCTCTAAGATTCCAGGGTTGCCTTTATTTTAAGTTGTTTACAGTGGAAATTAGGGACTATCTTTTTTATGACTGCATTTTCCGTGTTTTATATATAGTGCATAGAGCCAACCGCTAATTAAAACGCACATCCATAAAAATAAAACAAATAATTAGCATTGTGTTATTGTTTCCTGACAAACCAAAATACCCGAATTCCAAACCAAAATTCCTTTCCTTTTTTGACAGAAAGTGAAAATGTGCAGGCGTGCATTTATACGGATAAGATGTGGCTGTGCAAGAACCCACAACGAAATCAAGATACATCTGTCGAGACCACATGAGAGAGGCTGTGCAGCACAGAGAGGCATTTCCCATGAGCCTGTGGACACACACCGAGGGGGATGGCCTCTCCTGTCACAGCAAGGACTCCTCGAACCGCCCCTCCAGTGCCAAAATTTCCCCCTCTCAATCCCTTTTTTTTCTCCTCCCAGTAGGGATGAGCAGTCCATTGTGCCATAAAGAACACACCCTTTGCACTCTACTTTAACAAATCTGCAACTTTTAAGTCACAGTCTGCCTCTTTGGGCTTCATTTGATTACCATGGAGAGTGAACGACAAGTTACCAGAGAAAAAGGATTTGAAACACAAAGTGCAAATGTGCTAAACCGAGGCACGCAGTCGGTGGTGGGAATGTGTGATCTACGGTTCGAATCTGAGCTTAATTATCCAAATCCCACAGAGTCCATCTGAGGGAGATCCTTGATTCCAAGCAGCGATGATCTTGAGATAATAAATCAGATTTTAAATGTTTTCTTTGTACTCTATGAAGTAATGCCGGTTCCTCTTTTGGTCTTCGTAATGGCTTCTCACTCTGAGGTTTGATTGAATATACCCCCTTCCCCTTCCCCTTCCTGCCTCACAGCTTTTAAATATTCAGCACTGTGATACGTCTCCAGAGCTGCGAACAAGATGCCCCACCGAGAAAAGACATGTGTCTACGATATGTGGCCCACACAACAACTCGGCTCCACCACGAATGTTCTTCACACAGATACATGCACAGCCCTTCTATATTTAAAAGACAAATCACATGGGATGAGGTTACCTGTAATGTTTTCCTGTTTGGGACAGATTCCTCGAGAAGACGTCGATAAGCAGTCATCGTCCTCTGGCGTGACCTGGACGCCCACCTCCACGGGGTTGGAGGCTCTCCTCAGCTCACCATGCAAGGGCGAGGGGGGCTTATCCACTGCTTTGTCCATGCACAAAGTGCCACTGCACTGCTTCCTTTTGTGCTCAATGAAAATAAGGATGTCTCCCAAAGGGAAGTTCATCTGACACTGGCCACAGGTGAGCAGGTCCTGGTCTCCCTCTGGAGCTACCTGTACCAGCCCGCGCTGTTCCTGCCTCTCCTCCGAGACCACGGCTGACAGGGGCTCGGCTGCACGCAGGAAGAATCCATATGCGACACAGAGGGAACAAAAAGCAGAGGGAATATTAGATGCTGTAATAAATGCAGTCAAGACGAGGGAGCATATAACAGGATAAAAAAGAACAAGGATACACATTTTATGTTAATCCACCACTTTAATTTAGTTTATGATTTCAGATCGATCTTTTAAATTTCTGATCTGTAATTACATTAAAAGTTATGAAAAATAATAATAATAATAATAAGCATAAAAAATCAATTAGTCACTGTCAGTTAAACTTCAGTGAACAAGCATAACACATAATATTCACCTAACTAATAGCAAGGGCTTGACATCTTATTAACATATGATTTATTATGATATAACAGTAAAGGCAACAAAATTTTGTTATATTTGCTTTGGTGCATTAACATCTGCGTCTAAAACTACAGTAAATTCATCTCAGTCTGACTCTTTGTTTCACTCAACCATACACACATCTGGATCATGAAATGACTGCATGCACAACACGTGTATAGATATCCAGAAAAGCCAACACAAGTCACAGCTGCAACAATACAAGCTTCACACAGTAAAGACTATTAGCTTTATTCCCCCTCGCGATAAAGTTAACTGTAAGGTTCACACACACACACACACACACACATATGCAGGTATTTTTATAATGGTTGTTTAGTGAAATTTTGCACAGAGGTTACACTAGCTTCCTAATGGTTAAGAATCTTGACCTTCTTTATAAGCTGCCAATTTCATGCTTTAATGAACCTAAAACCACAGAGAATCAAAAAATAGATTTTAATTTTAGTGGATGATGATTGGTACAGATTTTGATAAAAAAAAAGGTGTTAGGATCATGTGCAGGGCGGTTAAATTTACTTCAGCCCTGTCTGGGGCAGATATTGAGGGGCAGATGTGGAGTATCTCCCAGACGTGCTTATGAGGAAAATATCTGACACATTTGCACATTAAGGACAATAACGAAATGTGATCAATTTCCCTTCTATATGTAATGCTTTTCGCTATTACGTAGTTTTGATTTTTTTTTTTTCGAGATCAAATGCTCGCCATTCAAATCAATAAAAGAAAGTCTACTCGATTTAAAGTGAACTCAAAGTATTTTAGAACTGATTTCTAGATACAGAGGGATTCATAGTGATATTGATTCGTAATGAATTCGTAATGATAACAGCTGTAGAACTTCCAGTTAGATGTGATTGTGATAAAACAGAGATAATCGATATATGAAAAACTTCAGTCATGATTTAATAATAATACCGAGCGAGAAATTCTAAAGTTGGTAACATATATATTTCAGCTGCAATAATATACGTTACATTAAAATAACAACTTATATTCAACACTTCAATTAGCAATAACAAATCATATTATGTACTTATTTTACTATCGCAGCTGCAATCTAAAGATATCCGCATGTATGCATATTTTTGAATTATATTTCAGAAACTTTACACGACTGACCATGCATAAATAAACAAATTATATAAATATTTTGCAAAAGAATATTCGACTTTCTAGATCCTTCAAAAACAAATTAAGTTTCCTCAGAATGTGTGAAAACTGTGGAAAGCTGTATCACATAAAATTTTCCCAATTGCTTTAAATTCCACTACAATCAGCGCTGGCAGTAAAAACGATATTGCATTTAAACTGTTTTGCTATTTAAAATCAATACAAGTGTTTAAAAACAAAAGCAGCTTAATACCAAAAAATATGCTGATAATGTTTTCAAATAGCTCTCCTCAGAAAGCTATCTGTTTGTAGCCTGAACGTGAACATTTAAAGCTTGATGTCAGTAAAGTAATTTTTAAACGTTTGTAATAACAGCTTCTTCGTTAGAATGTCTCTTTCACTTTAAAAATAACTGCTTTCTGTGTAATTATGAATTATCAAGATCAACTACATTTGGTCTATTATTGCCTGAACATCCTTTGTTGTTAGTTTACTTGATCTATTACAAACTACAAGGTATAAAAATGCTACATTTCATGCCAGGTCAGGACGGGGTAAAAAAAAAACAGTTACAAGTTCATATACAATACGTTTCGCTCTTGCTAACATATGGTCAAATATAGATAAAGATAGCGGCGAAACTGATCGGGTTCGAGTCTAGTTTATGATCGTCGTCTGCCTCCTAGCGGTGGATTTCTGACACGTACAGCAGCGAACACACGGAGTAACCCGCGCTGAGATCCCACAGCCTGTGTGTGGAAACCTAATAATGTTACACGATACTTTACAATGTTACAACAACTCGGGATTTGTGTCAAACGTGTTTATCTAATAAAACGCGGACTAATGCTTTTGCAGCTTTACGTTTGAGATATCAAAGGGTAAAAATCTAAAGACACGAAGAAAGGAGCTTAAATGGTTTTGTTTCGTCGTGCTCCTGACAACATTTCAGGTCCATAAAATACGAAGCAGACTTTATTTACAAAAATGCGACCTACCACAGTCCTTCAAGGCATGTTTAGAGTAAAATAATAATAATAATAATTGGAATGATAAAACAGAGAACAGTAGTAGGCTACGAACGTGTGCATACAAAAAGAGCAAAAACTGGCTGGTTTTCTTGATACACTTGTATCTAAATAGTTGCATTACATTTAGGTTTCTTCTTACCTTTGTCACCGACATTTAAGACAAAAATCAGGCCTAAGTGAAATCAAATTATCCATGTATAAATGCACACGAAACGGCAAAGAGCGTAGCGTAAAGTCGTCTCCTATTGCTTTTAAGCGAAAGCCATACGAGTAGATCAGAATCGCGTTTGGCTACAAATGTAAGAAAAGCTTAGGTTTAAAAATCGAATAGATTTTATATGCAGATGTCTTGCTCTGCAATGTTAGTCTCACACAGGCGACTATCGTGCTCTATTTGCTGGCAGTGGGTAGTACGCGCACGCGGCGCTTGTAAACAGTCGGACACGAGATTTTTCCCAATCAAAATTCACTTCCACTCTTTGAAAATCTTCCAAAAATAGTACGAGAGGGGGGAAATCCTGCCCAGAATCACAGACAGACAGCGTTACGGGACATTCCACGAGATGTGAGCGTAAATAAGCGAACGAACGCACGCGTGCATATACCCACCACAGTCCGGTATATGTGAGCGCTTGCTCTTAAGTGGTCAAAGCGACTATAGGGCACGAGAGCCAAGACATATGCGCCTAAACACCGAGTCGGCACGAACTTCTCCAAGTACAGCGATGGAAAGCAAACTTTTGTGGCATTTCGGCGAACGAGGGTGCGCGTAAAGGCATTTCAGAGATGGGAACGCTCTCGTCACTAAAGTCCACTTGATCTGCGCTGTCCAGTGTCCAGTGTGTCTTCACTGAGAATTACGCTCCTCTCCAGCAACTCAACGCTACAGAACGGAGCCAAAAACAGGTAAAGCGAACGGGTACAACATATATTTGTCTTTACTTACGCGAAAAATCCCGTTTGCTTAAGTGCTGAGGTTTGCCTTGCTTGCGGCGAGACATGGTGGTTGGTGGTGGCTTTCAGCTCGGTTCACATCGGGAGGGGTGGGTTAGAAGGGAGACTCCAGAGAAAATATCTTCATCAATGCCTTTGACATCCAAAATAAATTAGAAATAATACAAAGATGGCGCAGGGAAGATGGATTGTGGGATAGCCGTCATGGCTTTTTTGAAAAGAGAGAGAGAGAGATGAAAAAAATGGCAAAAGCCCCCCTGAGCTGCAAGTTCAAGTGCGGACGTGACGTCCCTGCGAACTTGAACGTCAGGAGATGGATGGACACAGACATACAGAACATGGGCAGGGCAAAGCCGTGGAGTGGGAGGAGGGAGTGGAAATAACAAAACCAATGGACACTCATTAGGGGCTGGACATGAAAAATAGACCCGAAGAAGCCAATGGACAGAAAGATCAGGGGGCCGGACAAGAGGCGAGAGAGAGAGAGAGCGAGAGACACGCACGCACAGAAAGAGAGAGAGAGAGAGGGGGAGATATGTTTAATGAAAGCAGTGTGCGCTGCGGCGAGTGTGTGTGTGTGTGTGTGTGTGTGTGTGTGTGTGTGTCGCGCGCGCGCTGGGGGTGGACGCAGGAAAACAGAGCACGAAAAGCCAATGGACAGGACATTCAAGGGGGCCGGACATGCTATATATACAAAGAGAGGGGGAGAGGAACCTCGCATATAAGGTTTCGTAGTGGACACTGATGGTGCTTCAAACACAGTCACTCAACTCCTGGTCAAACAGTCAGTCAGAGGTAGCGCGCAAACTGCTTCTCGGCGAGACACACGATCGGGTTGCGCGAACAGGACAGACAGGTTCCGAGCCGGGGCATGTGGGTTCAACCGCCGCCACATTCCTCCAGAACAGACAGAAACTTAAGGGACATCACATAGAGAGCGGCATAGGACACTCGCTCGCGATGTAGGTGGGACTTAAATACTACAAGACTGTAATTGTAAAAATATAACAACACACTGACGAATAGATTGTGGGAGCAGCCCACTAGAAAGAAAGGGGACGGGGTAATAACTTTCAGATGTGTTCAGATTATAGAGAATGGCGACTGGGGGGAGGAGGGGGTGTCAGTAAACCGCCGCCGCGTGGATTTAGAAGTATAAAGATGCCGTAAACAGCGCCGATGCATTCGAAATTAAAGAGACATGAAGCGTATAACTGAACGCGATGACAAGCTAGTTCAATCCACAAGGTGGGAGGAAGAGAGAGACACCCCTGCGAACTAGTAGAAGTACGACCAGACTATAGCGACTGCTCCAGAGACTCAAAGCAGAGGCTGCGTGAACAAGTGACAGTCTGCGGGGAAAAGGCACAATTCAATAGGGAACCGATCGGAATTGAAGTCGAATGCTGGAGATAATACGTGACCCGTGAGCGAGCGAGCGAGCGAGTGAGTGAAACTGCTTTGCAGGCTTATACGCTGACATCTTTGTTTCTGGACCAAAGACTGATCGCGGTGCTGGTGCGTGTGTAGGTTTTTTTTTTCGGCGCGAGGTGTCAGATCTTTACGCGAAAGTTGAGTCAGGTTTGCGCTGGGTAAAAAGGTCAACTCTGCGCGAGGGCTATCTGGGAATGCCAATGGATTCGCTCGACTGTACCACACTGACTGTGCCGATGCTTTTCAGGTCATTGTTCTCAACAAGTGCATATGATTAAAAGCGCCGTATCGATCTGAATTTTCTATATAAAGCCTTTGATTTCGTTTCAGTGCAGCTCACTATTCTCCAGCATGCAGAAAGGGAGCTAGATACATTTAAAGCACTTTTAAGAGTCCAGCGCGTAAATTATATAATTCTTTAAAAAAACATATTATAATAATAATAATAAGGTGCTTTAAGCAAGGAACAGCAGGCTATTCAAAGAAACATGAAGGGTTCTTGGTTTGGCTATATGATTATTTGTATTTTATAAAAGCTAATTCAGATAATTGCTTTGATTTCTAGGCTCTTTAAAGCACCAGCATAAATTGGTTTCTCTGGATAATAAAAAGTAAGCATAGAAGGTTATTATATACAGCAGAATCAAGCTGTTTTGGCTCTAATTAGGACTTTTATTTTTAAGCGTCTAATATTTCTGCGATCGTGCAGCGTGATTGACAGAAATACACCACGGATTCCTTTAGGACCTCTCAAGAGGTATTATGCTCTGCAGTTCTTGCATCCCACAGAAACATTGCATTGTTTAACCTCGCTCGAAATATTTCCAAGTGTGAAAAAATAACTTTGTTTTAAAAAAAAAAGTTGTGAGGTTTGCTATAGTCGGAAACTGTGATTATTGGCTATTGTGAAAACTTAAGTTTGCATGCAACAATCTCTACAAAATCAAAAGGAATATTTCCTTACGCATGAATAGCAAATATTAATGTGGTTAGGATGCGACGTGTGTAAACAGCGTTTGCTTCTGACTGAACGATCGTTCTGTATAAGCTTTCGTTGCTGGACAAATTTGGGGATGTTCATGCATTTCAGTAACACTAACCATGGCACGTGCCCACTCAGGCCATTGGCTGATGGACCGCCTTTTTTTCCCACATTTTTACTTTTCTGAAAGTCTGTCCCTGCTCCAGGCGGGCATTGATCAACGCAAACGGAGCGTTTACACCTCCTTCAGGAATGGAAGCTATCAGACAGCAACAAAGCGCCGCGTACAAACAGAATCTCAATATGTAAATGACAATGCGACTGATCCCATCATGAATCAGCCAGACGTTAAATGCATTGCAATATCCATCTCTCCAATGCACGGTCAGGCGCGCTCGCTCGTTCAGAAAAAGAGCTTTTGTGTGAGAGAGTGACAGAGGAAGCGATTGGAAATGAGAGTGAGAGGAAAGTGCGATGACAGATTCATGCTTAAAATAACGTCTCAGCTCAATGCGCGAGGCCCTGTGGATGACACAAAAACCAGATTACCAAACCTACATAATACCATGACTATTGCTGGTAGATCACTTTATTAAAATGCGACCTTCATGGTTAAATAGTAGGGTTTCACTATTTAAGACTACCAAATGAATATTGGTGTATGGGTCAGAGGAGGGGAAAAAAGCAAGTCAGTTGAATTTATTTTGGTCATGTGCTTGCCTTCCACGGGTAGTGGCTCAAGGAAATTGACTGACTGGCCCCTTGGGCGCATTTTAATATATGGAAATGACCGAGGGCTTATGCGATAAATCAACGCCCATCGCCCTGTTCATGCTTCACTCCTCTCATTTTCCCACTAGCTCTGGCAATTCATCAACAGATCTGTTTTCCTGCAACTGTTGTCCAGCGCTGATGTCATGTTGAAAGAGGGGCTTTATTGGCATTTATGGTTTACCAGCGAGATTAGCACTGAGTAAAAACCCTCGCGTGCACTATGTGTGTATGAGATAGAGAGAGCGCCAGTGTGTTCATTTATCTTTGACTAACTTTATAATACATTTATCCGCATGTATTTCAATTGTAAACGTGATAGATTTCAAGACTATTCCATGATATGGTCAATTTTTAAAAAACTTTTAGTTTTAGCACTCAAGAGAGCACCTGTCAGTCGTTACTGAGCATTTGATAAACAAATTGTCTGGTAAATACTAGTACCTCTAACACCAATTTGTGTTATTAAGTCCATATATACAAACTAATATGCAAAACAAAGAAAACATTTTATGAATCCCTTAGAGATCTCGATTCAATTTTTATTTATTTATTTATTTATTTTTGTTCTATTAATTGCAACGTTCTTATTACACATTATTATTGCACATTATTAATATTTTAATTTAAAAAGTGTACATTTACTTCTATATTCTCTTTAAACTTTCTTATCAAAGAGATTACAGTACAAATGAGAAATGAGGCATGTTTTACTGATTTAGTCCAAATACAGAGCCAATAGCAAAGTGAAAAGAAAAAAGTAAACAAATAATATTTGCCAAATATTTATTTGCCTCTTCATCTGAGTATTTTGTTTGCCATATGTGGCGATTAGTATGTTAAGATCTCCATACTATCAGGTTCACACAGTTTGTGGATGGCCATATCGATAGACTAATTTACAGACAGATAAAGAGTGAAGGCCATACACTGACCCTCCTGGATGGAATTAAATCGGCCTTGTCTTGTTGCTAGTTCTAAATGAAATGGCATGTATCTCTCATATATGGTTGTAATCATGATATTATCCTCTTACGCGTTCCTCTGGGACAGGCTCTGCGAATCGCGGTTGAGTAATTAACCATGTAAAATGTCACTGTAAAAAAGTGAGAATTATTATCGAAATTATTTTATCCAAGTGCATTCGCTTCCAAATCATGTTTATTTCGTACAAAAGACCCTAAAAAGAAAGCACGGAAACCTCCACAAAAGACATCAGTGCAAGCTACATTTCTTCACTTCGCAAAGACGAATGTTATTTGACACAAGAAATCAGACTGACCGTAAGATGAATTAGGCCTTTTCGTGTCGCCTGTGAAAGACTTTGGCCACCTTAAGTCTACATATCCCACTGAATACAAGTTTTACCTCAAAGGACGGAGAGAGGCGAAATGAGAATGCTCTTAAAATCCCTGGTAAGTCAAGCCTTGCCTTCTTTAAGGAATTTTAAGCTTCAGCAGTTCAGACACATTCGCAGACTGAAAATTAATATTAATGGCTAGATTTCACAATGTGGCATTATCACACTGAGCGATGGGTGGGCATGCCATCTGGGTTTTGGCAGGTATTAGATATAATCAAAGGGATTACGTCTCTGTGGGCGAAATTATAAACGTGAGTACTGGTTCTACAAAAAAGCAACGGCGTGTGAATGCGTTAAAGAGAAGAAAAAGAGGAGAGACTGAGAAAATCAGATTACCGGTGAGACTACATGTGGAGCCATGCTATAAAATGTAAAGACTACAATTATTGTGAGGGGAAAAAAGCTTTAAGAGAACAAGTAAAATACACATTCTCAATATTATTGCGAAACCGTTGTTATTTCAAGGTGACGCGCTTCACACGTTCATGCCAGCCGGTGTTTATACTGTA